ATTAAGTAATTCAAGTAAAAAGAAAACTTTTTATTCATTCTCAAGGATCGAATCGAAAAGAATAAGAAAAAAAAATTAACAATTTCTTAAAAAAAAAAAATAAACCTAGATATTTAAAATAAATCTTAATTCATGATTTAAAAAAAATTTTAATTTTTGAATCAAAATTCTCCTCCATTAATTTTGATTCTTCGCCGATCTGATATTTTCATATCAGTCAGGCAACCAATTATGATTTACAATACATTACCTCTTTTCAGCTAAACCTATTCCCCAATAATCTTATTATCGGATCTATCTATAGTTACAGTATGTATAAATCTAACGGCCAAGAACAATGGAATGTATTCCTCACGCACTAACCATCTGAGAATATGATGAGGGTTCTATTATCTAGATTAATTAAATTATTTAATGAAAATGGCCTAGAATTCAAAAAAGGACATGAATTACTCATCCTTATTTAGGCTCAACTTAATTCCCTCCTAGCTTTTTCGAAATAAGACTCGAACTAACTTGCAGGATAGCTCTTCTGGGATTCTCCATAGCTATACACAGAACTTTCAAGTTTATTTCTCCTGTTATGGAATTAATTAGGTACTTAATTTTTCAATATCTATATCCCGGATCGACGTTCGCACAAACCTTTAAATAGATTCTTATACTTAGACCGAGATCCTCATACTGTCGTGCCGATAGGCCAATTAAGTCTAAGATGTAAAATCTTGTTTAATTTTTTTTTTGTATCATCCTACATTATAATAAATTATTATTTAATATAACTAGAGTAAGTATTTCATTCAAGTCATTAATAATCTACGAAAATTTACTGATTAAAGAGAGATTATTAAAAACAGTATCAAGATAATCTGATAATAAAACATACTTTCAAACCTCTAAACTTTCCAGACTTAATATAATTATTAAAAATCTTTAATTATTTTTCAAGATGTGAAAATAATTCTTTTATAAATTGTTTGTTTAGAATTAAGTTAATTATTTTCTTTCACTATTGAAAATTATACTTTTTTATTCTTACTTGGCTTTTCAGGCTTTGCTGAAATTTTAATTTAATTAATTGTCACTCTTCAAACAAAAAAAAACCCTTTAATATTTTTTTTGGAATGATATTTTGAATTTACTTTATGTGTT